CTCTCTCTCTCTCTCTCTCTCTCTCTCTCTCTCTCTGTGTGTGTGTGTGTGTGTGTGTGTGTGTCTGTGTCGGGCGCTGGTCGGGACACCAAGAGGAGGCAGATACTTCTGGAGAGATCGGTCACCCGCATTCTCGCGAGGCGGCCGACCTGTCTATATCCACCACGGGTGCCCGACACCGCGTTCCAGGTGAGGACAGAAAGAAGAGACGGAGAAAGGGAGCTGGGCGCATCCGTCTGCAGCGGTATTCGTTGATCTTTGCAGGGAGTCAGGTTTCATCCCGACGGATGGAAGCGCGGGCCGTGGCCCGAGCTCGGACCTTGGCTCAGAGCGTTGCATCACGCCTGCGCCCTTCCCGATCGCAGACGATGATGGCATATACCGCGATGCGGACGTGCGGAGCCTGCTGCGGCGCACTGAGCCAATCCACGTTTACAACCCGACTCAGGCGTGCCACATAGGCGGGAGTGGGCTTGTGCCGATTGAGCGATTTGCATCGCCGCCTTTAATTTTGCCGTACATCGACCTCACTGTGCTGCCCTGGTCTGCTGTGCATGCCACCTGGTGACCACGGTTTAATTGTCATTGGTGTTGCCAGGGAGACTCGTGCTCGTGGCGACGGTTGGTCCTGGGGTATGAAGGGGCGACCCGATTCCCCGAACTCTCCCGTAACGCGGGTGCGCTCCCCGCCCATTTTCGAACCTGGGTCCCATCGACCTGTCCAACCCCGGGTGAGCCCGTGGCCAGCCGTCCGCACAGACTCGACGAGTCCGACAACGACGCCTGAACCTGCTTCCGGGGGCTCCACCCCCAAGGGCCGCGCGAACCCTGCGCCTCGGGGAACAGAACTCAGCCCCCGTCGGCTTCGTTTTTCTTCTCTTCTCTCGTTTTTATTTTCTTTCTTTTCGAAAAAGGATGACGGTCGGGCCGTAGGACACCCCCCTCCCATCAGCTGCCCAGGCATCTCGGGCCGGAGCCAGAGTCCCCCGTTCCGTCCGGATGACTCAACCTCCACGGCCAAAAATCCTCGGCCACACCCCTAACAATTCTGATCGGCGCTCGAAGTACGAAAGGCCGCGCGGGGGTTGAGGTTGGCGCATTACAAGCTACCCCACTCCAAGCCGTAGGGTAGGGGGCATTGTATTGGGGGAATGTTTTTTTCTCTATTTTTTCAAAAACTAACACAAAGAGAAAAACCGAAATTACATTAAATTTTCCATCTACAAAACCAACCACTGGATGGAAGTCAAGGAGACGCCTCTCAGAGATCGTGCAATGCCACACCTGATAGCAAAGTAAACGTTCTACGATGCAGGTGGCACATGGCCCTGGGGCTGTTTCTTGTGAAGCAAAGCTCACCAGCAAAGAAGAGGAGGGATGAACTTGGACTGCCGGATGAGGAAGGTGGGGAATTGAAATTTGCAAACTACCACTAAATGTGGCAAAGGGCATCAGGAAAAGAAGTGCCCGAGGCTATTACCTAAGGCTATCAGGAGCCACGTCCCAAGTACACCGTTGAGTTGGTCTAGCTAGGTTAACGGCGTGACACGTTTTGTGCTAAGTAAAACTTCAAATCAAGTGCAAAAAAAGAGAATCAAATGCAGCTGAAAGCTTTTTTGCAGTGTCGCCACATCACGTACAGTTACGGCCTGTACGAACTTCCGTACGACCATACATACGGGCCCTCAGCCCCCATACGGCCCGTATGTACGGACTTACGGCCCTACGTAACTGGCCTTTTGGGTGGTGTTTGGGGGGCTAGATGGGCTGGGGGGGTTGTGGGTGTCGGGAGGTACCCCCCCATCAAAAAACAAAAGAAAAAAGAAAGTTTTTATTTCTTTTTTGGGTCGGGGTGTGAAAACAAAATAAAAAGCTGATTGATTGATTTATTAACTGTTAGACTGATTGATTGGTTGATTGATTGGTTGATTGATTGATTAATTGATTGGTTGGTTGGTTGCGGGCAGGTGCCATCCCCCCCACGGGCACACACACACACACACACACACACACACACAGACACACACACACACACACACACACACACGCGCATACACATCTAAGGAAAGGCGGAAGGGAGAATGGGCATGCCCACGTCATGACCATCCGGATGAGGGGTTGGATCCCTACCCCCGCGGTTCTTCACTTCTCGCCCCCCGTGTTCTCATACCCTCCTCCCTCCCCCCGCTCCCCC